GTAGTAAATTTAGTTCTTCTCTCTCTTCTCTCTCTCTCTCTCTCTCTCTCTCTCTCTCTCTCTCTTTGCAAATCGACGAGGCGCGGTAACTAGAGATAGGAGTATATACGTTCGGTTATCCGACAACGCTCGCGCCAACAGTCGCGCGATAGAGATTATAAGCTCGAACAAGTGTGTGATTGTGTATATACGGTCGTACAAAGTTGGACTAGGTGTAAAAGAGCATCGGAACGCGAGTGGATCATAACGATGCGTTTTCTAAGATGATCGTTCCTCTACTGTCAGAGATTTCGTACGCCGGCGGCAACAAGGTGGCTTTAGTAAATCTGGATTCACGCTCGAAATACCCGCCTTCAACATCACGCGCACTTTTGGCGGAGGGAGACAAAGAGAGCGAAGCAGGCACAGGCATGTGTGTTCGTTGTGGTCACTCGTGACTCCAAAGCACATTTACTAATTACTGAGACAACAAGATTTACGAATACGCTCTGATTCTCGATTCAATCCGCACATCATCGACTTCTCGTCCGACTTTTTCTCATTCTCCTTGTAATCATAAGATCAGTACGAGAGGTATTTCTCTTTCTCTAAAAACTACTTTTTTTTTTTTCTCAGATCATAGATCATTGTATCCGGTTGCGCGAGAGCACGCTTCCCGTAATCTGTGTATCAATTCTCATATGTAATGTGTTGATACGTGTTGTGTACGTTCATCAATAAACGTTCTCTTGGATTACACATGATGATCTACACAGTGTTCCGTAAAGAGTTCTCTCTACTTGTACCGTCAAAATTAGTCATTGCAACACGATCATAGTATAATATATATATATGTGTGTATATATATATATATATATATATGTATATATATTTACATTTACTATCTACAATTATCTACACATCAACAAACTGTTAGTTTTAGCATTTTTTCATCGTATTGAATCATAAATTCAAATCTCTTTCAAACATTTTACATCTCGCCTTACATATACCATCCACATCTCAATCACTCACGCTTTCATTCTTTCATCATCATCATTATTATTATTATTATTACACAATCATCTGCATCATCATCACCATTATCGACATCACTATTACCTTTGTATCGGCGTTAGATGTGTCATAAACTCACGACTAGTTCGAAGATTATCGTATAAAGCAATCATAATTCTTCGACTCTCGGCTAACTCGCAAATAACTGCAAATCAAACTAACGAGCGACGATCATTCAACGAATATGTATATATAAAAAAACAAATAAATACACCAACTTAAAAAAGATAGAGGAGTTAGGGGCGATAATTGATAGCTACGCGATACGCAAAATCCACGTGTTGTGTGCTGACGATCGCGTAACTTCGGACCACGGCGGCCTCTTTTTACCGTAACGCATCCCTTTCGAGGCTGCTTCTCGTCGATTTCACCATCTTCAGGTAATGTCATTGCTGTCCTTTTGCGCGCGGATCCCGCGGATCCGTTCCTTTCTCCTGGGAGAAATTTCATTCCGTCCTGCACTGGGCGAGGCTTCTCCAAATGGCGATCGAGCTTAATCGGTGTCGTGGCAACATCGGTACGACTTAACTTATCCGGCAATGTCTCTTAGATTCATTAGTCTTCCTCTAATCTCTCCTGGGGGGGCGAAACCTTCGTGAAGCTCACGAGTTCAGGTCAAGTTAGGCTGAGACGAGGACGAAGGAGCGGCGGGCTGAGGGTACGAGGCCGTGTCCTATATGAACGCCCAACATTCTAATGTTTTAACGACGAAGTCCTCGCGCGGTGCCAATGGCTCGTTGCCATATGTGCTGCAAGACTGTGTTCTGCCTTGGTACAGATCGCCGTCCAACCAAAGTCCAAACTTGCCGCTAAAAATGACAAAGACACACCGACTCCGTGAGGCTCGCGATCGACGGAGGAAGTGAAATTTTTTTCAGAGAACGAAAATTGAAGGAAACTTACTCTCCGGCACCGATCGCTAAGCTCTCGTTGTTGCCCTTGACGAAATACAAGTTGTCGCCGGTCCAATTGAAAGACTGGAACCTCGGCGTAAACCTGAAGAGCAGGGACTCGCCGGTGCCATAAAAGTGATCGCTCACGTGCAGCGCGCACGAAGTAAATGCACCAAACACCTGTAACAAAATGAAGTGACTCATCAAGGCTACGAGCTGTACATATGGTGTAAAATTGAGAGAAAAAAATTGCACGACGATCGTACTCCAAGCAACCGATAAAAGCGAACGAGTAAGCGATAAACCAGTTTGAACGAAGCGAGACGCATTCACGAAGTAAACCAATAAACGCGTAAACACAACTTCGTGAATTCATATTAATGTGAAAATAATTATGGTGCTCGTGAAATTCTCTAATTAAAATTAATCGGATCGATCAATGTCTGCATTTTATTACGCTGAATTTATTCATTGTACTTACCTTTTGTTATCAATTGTTTATTTTTTGCTTAATTAAATTATAGCAATATCTTATTAACCTTCGTAGAGTTTGAGAATTTATTTTTAGAGTTCAATAGTTAATTTTTAGGAGGTGCGGCTTGTGCAATCTTTCTCTTTTTATATTATATTAGAGCACGCACACATAACGTTCCATATGTTTCCACACATGATACATACAATATAACGCAAATCCTTCCATCAATTTGAAAAGCCAGTCACTTTCATAGTTTTAAGTTAACAAATAGGGGGACTCACGTTGCCTTCGGTGTCCTCGATGACTAACAAGATCGGGCTCTCGATCTTTGCCATTTTCCGGTACATGCTGTTGAGACTGAAGCCGTGCTGACTGGTGCTGAAGACGAGAGTCCATTGGTAACCCTCCGCCCTAGCGGGTAGATGACGGCAAAGCTGTTCTCTATGGTCATCGCTGAGTATTTCCGTCACGCCGATCAGATCGGGCACGATAATTTCATTGTCCAGGGAGATGGCACTGTTCGCGTAAAGAGCTCGCCTGAACTCCTCGCTCATAGACAGTACCTGCGAACGCCGCCGTGTACAATTAATGATACATTCTCAGCCATATATGTGTATATTTTGGACAATACGTATATCGATCGCTAATTCTAATATCGAGGAGGCAAGAGGCAAAATTGTTTCAAAAATAATTGAGAATGTAAATAAAATTCCAGTCTGCTGTGTTTTATCGCTGTATAAACGGCGCACGTTGGCACGAATGTAAAACTCTCCTAAAGAAATAACATGCACACGATATCTACTTTTGATACGCTGAATAAAACATTTCAATGTTTTGCAAACTTGTTAAACGAAAAATTATACATTGGAATTTTCAAATGTCACATCAATTATCGAATATAATTAACAATCGTTTTAAAATAATTTGTTGATATTTGTTATATATATATATATAATATCTATTAAATAAATTATTGTTTTAATGAGCTTCGGACAAACACTTCAATTTTAGTTTTGCCGATTCTAAATTTCCAGAGATTTCCAAGTTCTACGCGAAAAACTTCCCATTCCTCTTATAATTTCTAACATGGAAATGCTTAAATTGATTTCTATTGCTTCTAACCTCCTCAGCTCAGCTAGATCTAAGCACATTTAGGGCACTACCACATCCAAGTGTCGTGTTGTACTTCGTTAATGTGGTCTCGCGTAACCGCAGTGGGTGTCGCGTTTACTCAAGTAAATTGCCGGATAATTATTCACGTGGGAGGCCGCCATGAAATGTGTGCCGATATTGAATTACTTTTGTTCGTCGCCCACCATCACGGAGCCGCTTTATTTTGCGCCACGTGCGATAATGCAATATGTGCGGGAGAGAATGCAAGTTCCGCGCGACATACCGATACGAAAGCTCGATTGTAAAACCCGAACCATCACACATGGTAGAAGCTACCATAAACGAACGGCCTTGGGATAAATCGTGTCGAAGCGATTAAATTCCGCTTCGAGTGTGTTGCAGCGAACCGAAAAGCCGGCGTATGCAAACGCGGAACATTAATTGATTAAGTACATTGAAAATTTGATTACAAGAAAATCGCAAGAGTCGAATAACATTAAGATCGGTCAAAGCGAATGAGACAATGCAATCATCTTCTGAATCAATGTTATCACAAATAGAATAAAAAATATAATTAAATTAAGTAACAGTTATGGAATCATAAAAAATAATGAATTTATTTAATAATACTTTAAAATGATCAAAAATTAATATCTTCGCGGCCAATAATGACAAACTCATTATTATTTTATCTTATCCCAAGGCTTTAAATTCTTCATCTGTCAATTATATCAAAACGTAATTATGCGAAAATTACCATAAATTCTCGCCAACTGTAGTCATTGCAAATTCGCAAAAAAACACAGTAATTTCATAGAACGAGAATCGCAGATCGCTACTCCGTAGACAACATTATGCATCATTAACGCGTGACGCAATGTTATATGCAAAATTATTGAGAGGTCCATCTTCGATCCGGATAATGGAGCGACAAAATGTGTTCGCGCGCCTGACCACAAAGTCATAAGCTCGAAAATTGATAACGGTTTTCACGCACACTTGCTGCCTAGATAGCACGTGTCGCCGTTGCGGTCTTACAGCTACATTTACAAAGTTGATGTAACATGATAACTCTCGGTATGATTGTGTATTGCTACATTGATAAGGAAATGTGCTTCTGACAGTTGTTTATACATATTGCCTAATACAGATCGGAGACACTGAGAAAAGTAAAACATTAATGATTATCATGCTTACATACCGGATAATATACAAAGCATACATTTAAGTGGACGAGGCCGATTCGACGAAATTTACATTTTTTTTTCACATTGGAACGAAAATCTGTTGCATATGTGTTATTTCAAAATATACATTATTCGTAAGAACAAGCCCTACTGGACTTATTTCCATTCCTTAAATCAATGTGGTTACCAAAATGAATCAAATTGAAATGAAGTTGTCTGCTCGAATTTCGTTTATCTTATGATGCACTTCGCGGAGATAAATCGCGAGAAAATTTTATTTTTACGATCTGGCGTTAAGTACATATTTTAACTGAGTGTTGAATTTTTTTCAAAAAAGACTATTCGAGTGACGTCAAACGTTATGGCAGAGTTTAAGTTGGATCGTAGGTTATCGCGAGATATAAGAAAGAAACACACGTATATAATAAATAAGAAAATCAACATTTACTCCTACGACTTATTCGCATTACAAGGATAACAAGTCGCGTTGTAAATTAGTAGAACAGATTTTGTATCACAGGTAGAAGGAGTGACATGATGACATTGGGTGGCACTATTGCACGTCGAGTGCTCGTCGAGTCTCCGTATTATTTATTATTTATGAACTGATGTTATGGAAAAATTTTGCTCGAGAAGAACGTCGTTTACTAACCATTGGCATTATCAATAATTATCGCGCAACCTGTGCATTTCTTGTAAAAAAAACACAGAAAAAATGATTGATAGCCTTTGATCTCACGCTCAGAAGAACTGAAGTTTTTATCCGCGCATTTATTTTAAACTGACAGTTGAAGCTTTGACTTCATCACATGAATGTTATTGTAACTTTCAAAAGCACGCTTGACAAGAAACATCAACAGAATTATATAAGTCTAGAGATTAAATAAAACTGCCGATTTTATTCTTGGTTATTGAATTTTCATTATTAAGTGGAATTAATATCTAAATATATAACAATATTGGCAGATTAATAATTCCCAGAAGCAAATTAATTTTAACATTTCCGTCCAGAGTTTATTGAGACCTAAAAATCACCAAGCAATATTATGAGTATCTCATAATATTATTAATAATCAAGAAATTTTCAAACATGAAATTTCAGAAATAAATTAATGATCAAATAATTCACTTTTCCCTTCTATTCGTGAACGGAAATTTGGAATAATCGCATCTTGGTTCTCACGCTGTTTTTCCACGCGGCAAAGCGTTCATTTATATGCAAAGATTGTATTATCACGATGTGCGACAAGCCTATCGTACTTTTGACATTCGTCTCTCGTACGAACGGATACAAAAATATCGTCATTACCGGTCGATTGTGCTTTGACTGTGCTACAGTTTCACACAGCTCATTATCATTATCGACCCCCCGGTTGGACGCGTCGTGTTAACTTTAACTTGATAGCAACGCGCTTCCAGATGTTTCGCATAAACAGCTCGTTAGGCAACGTAATTATCAGCTTTCTAATAAATTAACTCAAAAAACAACGCTGAGTCACTGCTCTCGCGATAAATAATTTTGTTTCAATCCATCTCATTTATATAAAGATAAAAAATTACATGTGGAGATTATTGCTTATTTTGTGGAATTTTTCTTTCGAAGTTTATGTTAAATATAATGACTATTGTGAAATTATGTTAAATATAATGCTTCTCTTTGTACTTAAACATCATGCTTTAATAATAAATAACAATTTTCTCTAATATTTATCAATAATTTCAATAACGTAAATTATGAAATATTCTAGGCATCAAGAATAGTAAAATCAAATAATGATAAAATAATTGTATCCATGATAAAACAATTCGAAAAATTACAGAGATTTATCGAAGAATTTATATTGAAGCTAGCGACAAAGATTTCGCTGGCATCGAGCTATCTATCATAAAAAATTTAGTTACAATTAATAAACTTATTACGATTTAAAAGCAAAAATTCAGCCGATTGATAGAATTTTTGATTTTGTGAAAATGACGCATTCAATATTGCTTGATCAACTGTATAACAAAAACACAAGCGGTACGTAGCACAATAATATACTGATTGAATGAAAATATTTGACAAAGATACATTATTAATAATACACAAGAATCAATCAGTGAATACAAACTGTCGCTTATACTCGATATCAGCGGAAAAAATTTTATCGATGAAATCTTTGTCATTTCAGCGTAAAACATCAAGATAAAAGATGCCTAGAAGAATTACTTCTTATATGTTGGATATAAAAAGAAAACAAAAATTGTTAAGCCCTTCCTTACACTGTGCTACTATGTAATACTGCTTAAGTTTTATAAGAGTATAAAAACAAACAGAATGACACATTACGCGACCTCGTTTAACATTTAAATCCCAGAACTCATAATGTTAATTAATACGTTTTGCGTGCTCGTCCGCGTTTGTTTTTCCGTCAAGTAATGTAACAATAATACAAACGGTCGCCATATAATCGATATAAAGTTCAACAAGTTTTATGGATTGATCTTCGCGTAGAGGTCATCATTACGAGATAAAATAGATAAAAATTTCACTAGTGACACATGTAATATCTTAAAGCTTTGATAAAATATTATATTTTAACAACAAATTCTTAAACGGATTTAAAGTTTAATTTTTTTATTATGAAAATATATGAAAAATACAATTAATGAGAATATTTAATATTGACAATAAATGATTGACAATTGAAGATCATGCAATAAATAAATTGATAAGATCTGCGACAAAAAATTAATAATATTTCAAAAGAAATTTATTACAAATAAAACTAAATTTATTATAAAGGAAGAAATTAATAATCAAGAAATCAAGAAATTAATAAAATCTTTCAAAAGGAACTTGTTACAAAAGAGTTAATTTATTATAAAAATAATTTTTGATGTATCAGAGATATTAATAGCTTCTAGTAATAATAAAAATTCAAGAAAAAAATATTTTTTATTCTTCATTAATGATGATAGCATGAGAAAAAATAGTTTTACTTTATTAGAAGCACCACTTCAGGTGTTGCGTCACAAAAGGGTCACGGGATTTCCACGTGCCTTCGCGGAAAAATAAATTCCAACAGATTATCTTCTGCCCTTATTGTCGAGCACGTGGAAGCGTAGTATTAAAATAAACCGCGGAAGAACACGTTCTATTCCTCTGACAGGTTAATGATTACGCTAGAAGTCCGCTAGTCAAGCAGTAGCCAGCCGTGATTGAGTTGCTAACTGCAGAGAGAACGTAAATAAACTTGCAAATTTTGCAAATGACTCTGAAA